ACTTCCTGGCCAGCCCAAGCCACTGCCTTCTCATGTCTTCTGGAGCTGAGATACCAGACTGTGACTCAAGGCCACATTGTCATGAGTCATACCCCTACTATCAAGTAGCCATGTGATCAAAGGGCCCAGGTCTAATTCTGTAAGTTTTTCTAACCTACAGTTGTGTCCAGTGATGTTCCTCCCTCTCCTGTCGTCCCACCTTTGACAGTAAGGAATCTGCTATCAATTATGATTTCCTGTGTGTTCCATTATCTGCACTTAGCTCTAAGCGCTCTAGTGGTACGGTGGTTATACGTTGGGCTGTTATACGTTGGGCTGCTAACAGCAAGGTCAGCAGTTTGAATCCACCAGCTGCTCCTGAAAGAAGAGGCTTTCGACTCCCACAAAGATTTAGTGTCTTGCAAAGCCACAAGAACAATTCTACTCTGCCCTCTGGGGTCGCTGTGAGTCAGAATTGACTCAGCGTTGATGAGCATACTTAATGCCATGGATGTGAATGCCTTGGACACCGGTGTGGCTTCATGCTAATCGTTTCCCTCATCTAGATGATTCGCCCTTGCCCTTGTCCTGTTTAAGCCTTACAAGTCCCTAACTATAAATTGTTATTAGTGCTGTCAGTCAACGCATAACAAGCTTATGTAAAACAGAACGAAGCCCTATGCCATCCTCACTGCTGTTTTTAAGTTTAAGACCAGTGTTGCAGCCACTGTGTCAATCCACCACTGTCTGTCCCTTTGTCATACGGTGGCAGTTTGCATGTTACTGTGATGCTGAACAGCTACTGAGCATGGTCAGATGTCCGGACAGGGAGCCTTTCCCCCCTAGAACACAATTTTCTTACAGAAACAGCATGAATACAGCACATTACTCTTATAAATTCATGTCAAGATACAGTTATGTCCGTTCATTAATATTTGTTCTTTACAAATTCTTTTCCCCATATTTAAAACAAAATTTCTCATATTTTCTTCATTGTTACTATTGCAGTAGTTGCTTGATAATGAGCACGTCAGAAAAAAAGAAGAAACACTTTTACTTAGCATTGTGTGTGTGTGCATGTGTGCGTCCTCACGGCTACCCTTCAAGGTGAGAGAGCATCTCTCTTTTTTAGGTAAGGGAATCAAAGTTGAGAATGGTCAAGTTGTTTCCCAAGGTCACAGAGCTAATAAACCTCAGGGCTTGGATTTGAACCCTGGGGTAAGTGTGGCTCAGAGGAGCCCTGATGGTGTCGTAGTTGTGTTATGTGTTAGGCTGCTAGCAGCAAGGTCTGCAGTTCGACAGCACCAGCTGCTCTGCCGGAGAAAGATGAGGCTTTCAATTCCCCAAAAGGTTTCCAGGCTCAGAAGCCCACAAGGCGGTGCCCTAAAGGGTTGTTATCCGTTAGAATTGACCCGATGGCAATGAGTTCAGAAAGTATGGCTGAAGCTCTGCCCAGTCCAGGACTCCAGCTCAGAGCCGAGCTGGAGCTTCCACTGGACAGAGTGCTTGCTCCGCACCACGGATGCTGAGAGGGACAAGGAAGAGAGTGCTCGGCCACTAAGTGCACGGCTGACAGTGCAAACGCACCAGATGCTCCACTTGAGAACAATGAAATGATCTCCTGTAAAGAGTCGTCTCGGAAACCCTCGGGGCAGTTCTCTGCCACCCGCCGGGTTCATGTGAGTCAGAATAGACTCCCCAGGAACGGGTTTGACTGTTGGTTTACTAAGGGCCAAAGCTCTAGAGGTGAATTATCCTCAAAGCAAGCTTTTCAAAGTGGGCATTGCTAGTCCCATTTTCCCTGAAAACAAAAATGAATGAGCTCCCCCCCAAAACCACTCACTGCCATTGAGTCAACCCCAGCTTGTACCAGCCCGCTGAGAGAGTGGGCTGGCGGTGTGGGTTTCCAACACTGTAGGGCTTTACCGCGATAGATAGCTTCTTTGTCCCTCAGAGCAGCTAGTGGGCTCAAACTGCTGACCTTTTGGTAAGCAGTCCAATGCATAATCCACTGCACCGCCAAGGCTCATGGTTAAGTAACAAGATGAAGTTTACAAAGGCAACAGGGGCCAAATCTGGGTCTTGTTCGATCAGCTATAGAAAAGTTGGCAGTTCGAGCCCACCCAGGAACACATTTGAAGAAGGCCTGGGGATCTCTTTCTGAACAACCAGTCCCTGAACCCCCTCTGGAGCACAGTTCTACTCGACTCACATTGGATCACCAGGAGTTGAACGAGACTCAAATGCAACTGGTTTAAGAACAGAATTAATTTACAATCTGGCCAACCAACTTGAAGCAGGCCTCACAGAGGGCTCACCTTTACAGATTGTGCCGTTTTAAAGAAGAGGAGTCTTTTCTCTGCACCCCGCCCCAGGCAACATTGTCATCAATAGGATTTTTCAAAGTTACAAGGAAATGGTATAATATTTATCCAGCAAACATCTTCTAAGTCCAGGCCTTTTCCTAAGACTTTTTGAAAGAAATGTGTTTATCTTAAAAGAGCATAAACTGAGGAAATTCTTCAATATTGAAGAATTATTGGTCTGCATTTCTGCTCTTTGCACAGTCACTGAAACATTATCCTACAATGCTCCTCAATTTCAAAACTAGGACCATTATCTAATAACCCTCAATTTTCAAAGTAAAAACTCATCCCTGATCCATACCTTCCAAGCGATTCTTTCCAGAGGAAATCCCCAATGACTTGGTCTAGATTCTCTAAGCTCTCTCAGTTGTACAAATAGAAGGACTGAGCCCAAACTCAACAGAAACATATGCTCCCTACATTATAGGGGCACCGCACCCGTTTATAGACTAGCTGGAGAAGCACAGATGGAGTACAAAATTGCTGATGCACGTTGTCTTGCTTTTTAATTTTGATATAATTTCAAGATTACAAAAGAGTAGCAAGAACAAAAAACAATCCTAGAGTTCTAGAAGAATTCCTGTATGCGGCCTTAGAGCTTAACTGCTTGGTTTGGAAAGAGCTGCAGTCGATAGCTGAGACCCTAACTCCATTTGGAGTATTTATTGGCTTCAGTTCAAACACCACAGGAGTTTGGTTTTGCTGTATGACTTCCCCAGTGCTTGATGACCATTTAACTAGCAATGTAGCTCTGCTTTAGACACAGAGTCTGGGGCAAGCTCAAGGAAGGGCAGTTTGGCCTCAGGAAGCATGTAATTGAAAGTAAATTAACTAGTATTCAGAAAGATGTTCACAAAGAACTAGGTAACTTGCCATGGAATTTACTGAAAGTAACCACCGTGATGCAAGTTGGGGGCTGGGGGTTCTAATCTCATCTTGTAGCTATGACTCAGGACCACATGATCATAAATCACAGCTTGACCACCAGTTGAAAGTGGTTCAAGCCCTAAAATGAATGTTGGCCCTTTCCCACTTGGTACTCCCACCTGTGACAGTAAGGAATGGACCCGCCACCAATCATATGCTTGTCATAATGATCCTTGTTCTCTCTCCTATATGATGAACACCTGGCTTTCAGTCAGCATAGTCGATCAGCCTCTGTTCTGGGTACATGCAGAGGGTATCCCGCATCCGGGATAATTGTCTTTGTCCTGTTTGAAGACTTAATAAAAGGATCCCTATAGAATATGTTGGCATGTAAGACCCTTTTCCTTCCAGCACAATGCCTTTAGCCTCATCTCTACTGTTAACATTTTACCCAGATGCTTTGAAAGCACCCGCTGCTCGGCAGGAGAGACAAGGGGCTTCCTCCTCCTGGTAAGAGTCAGTCTCAGGAACTCACAGGGCCAGTTCTACCCTGTTTTACAGGGTTGCTAGGAGTTGGCATTGGCTCGAGGGCAGTGAGTTTGGTTTGGGTTTTATTATCCATGTAATTTTATAAATGGTACACTGTGGAGTAAAAGATGGTGTACAGCAATTTGTAATTGACCAATGTAAATAAGATGATGTAAACTCAGGATAAAGGGAACCTCGCTCTGCTGCCAAGTCAACAAGTCAAAACCAACTCACACCCTTCGAATCGGAAAAGGTGTTGCATTTCTTTGAATCTGAGGCCCACGCACAATCCTGGGTGCATAGCGATGTCAGGACACCCATGAAATTCTCAGGTTCCCATAAACCAAATACCCAACTCACTGCCATCGAGTCAATCCCAACTCTACTGGAGCCTCCGTTTCCACGTGAGCTTCTTTTCGAAGAATCATTCAGCGAGCCTTGAAAAAAATTATGATAGTTCAAACAATATTTTATTAAAAACACATACCTAAGAAAATAATCCTTCTACCCAAAGTAACCAAATGGCAACAATCAACCCCAGAAACTGTCCTCCGATGGCATCCACCAACCCATCTCTCTCTGTGCTACCTGTGAGATGCGATTTCATCAGGATATTTGATTATTCATTATTTCTCAAAACTGACTACCAGGAGCCTAAAGAATGCTAAACTCTCGCCATGTAAGCCCATAAGAGATGGCACTGGTAACATTTCCTGTGCCTCCACAAGGGGTGCTCAGGGTGGACTTCCTTTTCTGGATAGGAAGAGGCTGTCTGGTTGTAACTGGATTCACAGGACACTAATGTGCTGTCAGACGAAGGGCTGAAACACAGCCCTGGGCCTTGTGCTAAGAACGCCTGTCCAGAAGAGCCGAGGACACTGGGAATCCAGGTCAGATGAACCCCTCGGAAACAGAAATGGAAGTATCAATACCAGGGGGGAAGGGGGAACGTGAGGAGAGGCGGGGGAAAGAAACCGTGGGGGAAGGGACACAGAGGTTGGTGTAAGTTATGAATTTAATAATAATTTATACTTTATCAAAGGGTCACTGGGGGGGGGGCGTAAAAAGAGGAGCTGATACTAAGAGTTCAAATAGAATATAAATGTTTAGAAAATAACGATGACAACATATGTACAAATATGATTGATACAATTGATGTATGGATTGTTGTAAGATCCCCCAATAAAATGATCTTTAAAAAAAAAACGAAGGCCTAGGTGCAGCCTGTCCTATGGGGAAATCACCGCAAAGTTACAAAAATGAAGAGCGGACTTTTATTCGGCATAGGAAGCAAAGGAAAAACAAAATGGGAAAGGGCAGGTCATGTCATCAGAACAACATCCTTCTAAGTCAGAAGAACACTCATCACAAAATCAACAGCACATATACAAATGACAAGTCAATCCGTCACCTAACGCGAGATTTGCTCAAAGAAACCACTGAATCACAGAGTTGGTTTTTGAATAATCATTGGTACAAATGTTCAGTAACAATAGTCAAGAGATCTTCATTGCTCTCATCATCCAAAAGAAAAAAGAGTGGTGATTAATTGCCCTTTATCTAAATGTCTTTTTTACTCAAAAGGAAATGCTCAGGCAAATTCTAGTAGTGCTTTGTGTACGCCCCTTTCTGTAAACCAGCTATAATCTACTCTTCCTGAAGCAAGCTGCCTCTTCTTGGTCTTTCTGGGCTTTGTGGGAGACGCATTGGTGGTCCAGGAGTCAGGGGCATTGAGGAAGTAGGCTCAAATGGAACCTGAATTCCAATTGTGGCCCTCGGTCTTCCACAAACCAACTGCTCCTAAACTTGAGGCTTTACTGCACACTTGGTTTGAGGACACCGCCAGAGTGAACAGTTTGCCCTGAAAGTGTGACTTCATCCAGAAATGACTACTCACTCAAACCCATGTCTCTGCTTCTTCAGGTGCTCTCTGGTTGCCTTCCTCTCCAGCCAGGGCGTTAGAAATGCTTCTCCCCCACCGCCCACCCTGGGCGCAGTGTCCACTGAAAATCCAATCTGTAAATCTGATCAGTAAATATCGGTCAAGGAAGTCACATGAAGAGATTTTTCCAATTCACTCTTGTTGGTGGGTTTCCAAGGGTAAAATGCGATAGTCCTTGTCTTCCCAGTCATGAGGAAGCCATTGTCACTAAACCTCCCTGGGATGCTGCCCACATCCAGCCAAACAAAGAGAGCCACCGCGGAGGTCTCCAGATGAAAAACAAATGTGTCACCGTGCTGAGAGATGAGGGCCTGAAAGAAAAAGAAAGAGGAATTGAAGGAAGACAGATGAGCCATACCTTTTGAGAAGAACCATCAGAACATTTAGGCACCCTGGGGTGAGGCAATGGTTAAGCAGTTCACACCTTACCCGAAGACTGGAGGTTCAAACCTCCCTGAGGTACCTCGGAAAACAGGTTCTTAAGATGGTCTTTATTCTTAAAGGATCGCGGTAGCTTCTGGGTTCTAGGCTCTAAGTCAAGTGACCATATCACCTGGAGTCTGTATCGAGAGTTGAGTCTTTGCTACTAGGATCAATAGCACCACCTTGCTGACTGACCCTTTATAGTCATTTTGCAGTCTCTGGGTGGGATAAAAGGAGCCCTGGGGGGTGGGGGTGAGGGGCGGGTTACAAATTGGGCTGCTAACCACAAGCTCAGCAGTTTGAAACCACCGCTCCCCTGAGTGCAAATGATGAGGCTTTCTGAATACATAAAGATATATACCTTCCCACACCCAAAGAGGCAGTTCTCTTCTGTCCTATCTGATAGTGAGAGTTGAAGAGAGGTGGGTCTCCTGAATGGTTAGGGGCTCCACGACTGATCCACAGATTGGCTGTTCGAACCTACCCAGAAGCACCACCAAAGAAAAGCCTGCCAATCTGTTTCCCAAACGTCATAGCCTTCAAAGTCCTGGAGAGCGAGCGGTTCCTCTGGGGAACAGCTGGGGTCACCGGGAGCCCGAGGAGACCCATGGCTGCAGGCATGGCATCTGGTCTTCAGCAGAGCCTGTGTGCAGGCCTAAGGCCTAATAAGGAGTGCATTTTGTACAACGGCGGTCTGTAACTGCAAGTCATATATTCTCTGCACTCGCTGCACATCCTGGGCACTGTTTCAGACACTTAAAATGACAGGGAAGATGATTTAAGGCGGTGGAAAATTACCAGATTGCCATCTCCAACCCAAGAAATATGGAGTCTCCAGTTATTACAGGGAACACTTCATATGCAGCGTGAAGCTTCATTTCTTTTAAAGGTTTTCTCACCGATTCTTCAAGAGGAGAATATCTGTGCAGAATGTCTGGGCAGGTTAAACGACTTTCTAAGGATATCCGCGGGCCTGGCAGCAGAGCCGAATCCCAGTGCTTACATTCCAGACTTCTGGAAAGCTCTGGCAAGCTAGAAAGCCACCAGCCAGGCTTTTACACCAGCTCTGCCATCAGTGGTCTCTCCTTTTAGCTCAGAACACAATCAAGTCACATTATTAGCACTTTCAGCTTGTGCCAATTCCATATCAACTCAACAAAAAAGAGTAAGGCTGTTTAAATCGTGCAAGCTCCATTCCACTCAATTAGCAAATTTGCAAGTGCCCAGAGCGAGGAAGCGCAGCTCTATAGGAGTGCTGATTCTAGCGCAGCTGTAGCTTGAGCAGGGAGTCGAGTGTAACCTAGTATTTAAAGCCATTCATTTGACCTGCAGTATGGCTCTTCAACGTTTGTGTCTGCTACTCTGTAGGGGCTTACATTGCATTCGGTGTGACTTGACAAAATTCAAAGGCAGATGCTTGTTATACATAACTCTCTAGCCCTTCCACGCTTTTATGACTATCAGCTGGGGTTCTGAGTTACAAGAAAAACTACTTTGGAAAAAATCAAAAGAGACTTAGTAAAATATATTAAGTAGCTTAAAATAGGGTCAGATTTGAAGCCAGACACCAAGAACAACACACAAATTCCGGACCCACACAACACACTGTTCCTAAGAAGACTCTAAGGGGGTGACAGGCAAAACCTTCACATGGTCAGACCAGTCTGACTAGGAAGTCAGCAGGACATTCCCAGCCCCTGCCACTGCAAGGCCAAGTCCAGAAGGGACACTCACATTGTGCTACCTGTCACTGCCTTCTTCAGACTGGACATGTCATATCTGAGCTCTGTGCCCAGGAATGCAGGGAAAACACAGTTCTGGCAATCCTCTCGAGAGAGTTCAAGCACGTGCCTGGTCTGTGCTTAGACCACATTAAATGTTAATCAAATTTATCAAACATGCTATCAAGATGCATTGCAATTACTGGTGGTTGAAATGCAAAGGTTGGAAACTAAAAAGAGAGACCAGTAATTGGAAAATGTGATCTTGATTATAGAAATGACCTGAATACAGAGAGAGAGAACTTTGCAAGAGTGGTGATTTATTCGTTGCAAATATCCTTTTCCAATAGCATAAGCAGCACCTCTCAGTGGGCCCGGTGCCATAGTGGTTCCGAGTTGGACTGCAAGCTGCAAGGTCAACAGTTGGAGACCACCAGACACTCCAAGGAAGAAAGATGAGACTTTCTACTCCTGTAAAGAGTGACAGTCTCAAAAACCCACAGAGCAGTCCTATAGGGTCACTGTGAGTCCGCATTGGCTCGAGGGCAGTGAGTTTGATTTTGGATTTATAGATGGACCTTGGGATTGAATTCACAGGAATGAAATCGACTACATCTGTGGGTAGAGAGATGATCGACATAATCAGTTCCTACAAGGCCATGGGCCAATTGTAGAACAGACCCTCAGCTGCTCAAATGCAATGTCACGTTGAAACTGATGAGAATTAAAACAAGCCCATGAAAGCCAAAATATAACTCTGTGTATGTCCCACATGCTTTCGGAAAGAATCTCACGAACAGACTTGACACACAGAACACTCATGACCAAAGTCCAGAGCAGCTGGGGGATGCCATCAAGAGCATCATACATGAAGAAAGGAAAGAATCATTTAAAAGACAGGACCAAAGGACCGGAAGGGATGTCAGGGGACATTAGTAAATTCGTTCTTGAACACAGAGTCGTTGAAGTGGAAGAAAGAGGATAAAGTAAAGGAACGGAGCACACAAGCTCCAAGGGCCGTTCAAGAAGACCACGTCGTGTAATAAAATGTGCAAAGAAACAAAACGGAATGAGAAACCCAAGAGGGAAGAACAGGTGCAGCATTTGTCCAGTTGAAAGAAGTGAAAAGAAAAAAACCCAAGCCTCAAGTGCAAATACTGAGGGAGTCCGTGGGCAAAATACTGAATGATACAGAACACAGCACAAGGAGATGGAAGGGATACCATTACTGTGCCTCCCAAATTGGTCAACTTTTAACCATTCCAGGAAGTAGCGTATAACCATGAATCCATGGTACTGAAGGAAGAATTCTAAGCTGCAATGAAGGCATTGACAAAAACAAAAAATAAACAGTGCTGCCCAGTCGATTCTAAGTCATAATGACCCTATAGGTCTGAGCAGAGTTGCCCATAGGGTTTCCAAGACTGAAATCTTATGAGAAATAGCCTGCAAGATCTTTCTCCTACGGAGCAGCTGGTAAGTTCAAACTGCTAACCTTTCTGTTACGGCTGAGCATGTAACCACGATGCCTCCAGGGTCCCTGGCTCCAGGGATGGAGGGCACCAGTTGAGGGGTTGCAACAAGTGGATACAGTGCTGAAGGTGCTTGCTCATCTAGGCCAAGAAATTAGGAAGACAGCTCTTTGGAAAATGTCAGCAGTTGGAAGAGATTCATATTTGTGCTCATTTCAAATAAATGTGATCTAAAGATTGTAGAAATTTTAAACAATATTAAAGTCAGATGCAAGAGGACTTTTGCTGAAGATAATTAAGAAACGGTTGCAGCCGAGCACCAATGGGCAAATGGCAGAACTGCAAGCCAGGTTCCTGAGAAGATGTGAAGTCAGATATCATCGCTGGTGTCAGAAGGATCTTGGCTGAAAGCAGAGAATACTAGAAAAATGTTGACTTCTATTTTAATGATGATTCAAAAGCATTCCACTGAGTGGGTCATACTAAATTATGTATAACATCGCAAAGAACAGAAACTCTTGAATACTTCCTTGTGCTCGTGTGGAACCTATATACTGACTAAGAGGCAGTTGTTGGAACCGATACAGATGATATATGGTGGTTTAAAATCAGGAAAAGTTTGCATGGAGATTCTCTTACTATACTATTCAATCTGTATGCTGAACAACCAATCCAGAAGCTGGACTCGATGGAGAAGAGAGCATCAGGAATAGAGGAAGGCTCAGTAACGACTGATGATAAACAGAAGACACACCCTTCCCTGCTGAAAGCCAAGAGAACTTAAGTACCTATTGAGAGAGGTCAAACGAGTACAACCTTCAGTGTGCATTGCACCTCAATAGAAAGAAAACAAAACCCCCAAGAACTAGACCACTAAACAACATCAAGAAGAGATTAAAGTTGCCAATAATGTCACTAATTTGGATCCACAGTCAATGTTCATGGAAATAGTAGTCAAGAACTCAAACAACAGATGGCACTAGATAAACCTACTGCAAAGGACTTCTTGGAAGTGTTCAAAAGTAAAGATCTCATCCAAGTTCTGATATTTTAAATGTGCTCATATGCATGTGATAGCTGAAGATGAAAGAAAAACTGATAACATCTGAATGTATTGAAACTCTTCTCTCCTTAGTATATTCAGTAAATATTAGAATATTGAACACACTACAGATCGACTGCCAGACCAAAAAGCTGCCTTCGAAGGAGTGGGGCCGAATGCTTCTCGGAAGTGAAGAGGGTGACCCTTCCTCGAGTGTCCCTTGGACAGGCCACCAGGAGACGCCAGTCCTGCAGAAGGGCCCTGTGTGGTGAGCCCGGCACACGGCCAGGCTCTGTTGCCTTCTCTTGCTCTAAGGTGACGATGAGTCTGAATCAACTGACAGGCACTAAGAACACCATCAGCAAGACTGTTATCCCCAAGATTAGCTCCCTGCAGGAAGGCAAGTGTCACTGAAGCTCAGGTGGCACAGGACAAAGAACGAAGCCCCACTTCGCTCCTGCTCCTGTATCTAAAGGTAATGAGGACCTAGGTATCAAAAGGAAAACCATGTCTTTTTGAAAATCACAAGACGATAGACTGCAAATGTGTTATGCGTGTGTATGTACACACACAGACAGGGGGGGGTGTAGGCCCTGGGTGGTACAAATAGTTGGTGCTTTAGGACGCACAGTTGGAAGCTCAGGCCCATCCAGTGGTGGCACAGAAGGCCTGGCAGCCCCAGCCACGAGAACCCTATGGGTCTCCGCTCTCCCCGCTCTTAACAGCGGGCTTACCACGAATCTGAAGCAGCTGAACATCAGTGGGATTTTGTTTTATTTATATATATCGTGGGCTTCAAAAAGTGTGTGGAGAACTGTAATTGAAAGATAATGGAATCTTTGCATGACTTCTTTGAAGCCCTATCACATATTTGCTTTTCTGGAAAGACGGTCAGTAGCTGTGATTGCCCTCACAGGCGTTCAGCATCACTTGCAATGGATCACGGAGAAGCAATGTGAATGTTTCATGATTAGCATACAAAAACCTTTCAATGACTAGGCCTTGGGATTTTAGCTTGCAAATCATACCCCGGGGTGGGGCATTTTTATATGACTTGGTCAAGCAAGACACTCAGGTGGCAGGATGGGCCCACATTGCCTGCTAAGTGCAAAGTCAGCGGTTGGAAGCCGCCAGCGCTCTGCGGAAGAAAGATGAGGCTCTCTGCTTCCATGAAGATGGAGACAATGAGAAGCGCACAGGGGCAGCTTGACCCTGTCCTGCAGGGTCGCAAGGAGCTGGAATCGCCTTGGTGGCGGAGGTTGTGTTTTTATTTTTAGAGTGAATGGGAAAATCCTTTCTTAAGGCTTCCCATTGAAGAAAAGATGTCAGACACATTAATAATTCCCAGAAAACAGAGAATGAAATCTTCTAGAAAAATAGTCTCAATTACTATACGAAGGGAGGAAGGGGTGGAGGGAACGGTTTTCAATCAGCTAGACAGATTTCAAATCCTCCAGCTGCACAATGTTTATAACAATATGTCCGGATCGTCCCACTTTGTTCTTGGCAATTATAAAGCGATCTGGTGATTAAGCTACTTGGAAGCAATAAATCAAAGGGAGTAGAGTGAATATTAATAGACTGTACTTGAGAGCTCAGAATTAGATTGCTTCCACCGGGCCTCCGATGCTTCCGGAGTGCATTCCTTTACCTCTCTAACCGCTGCTGCCTGGTCACATGGAGGGAGACCAGCCCACTGCAGGGCTAATGTGAAGCTCAGAGCAGAGGCCGCAAAGCACCTAGGAGGGCACCAGGACGGTGGCAGAGGGACAATCAGACCGTGAGCACTCCTGTCACCGCGCCATCCCCTCCAGGGAGCGTGATGGGCAGCAGATATGGCAAGAACCCAACGCGTTGACAACTGTGAAAGGCGAAGCCAAACCATTTGGTCTTTGCCTCCAGCGGTGCAGGGCTCGGTGGTCGCCACCCCTCGGGCGGGCTTACGATCAATGGGAAAGTCCCGAGGAGCGAGATCCCCTGGGCTTGCCCTGTGAAGCCCCAGGGACCTACAGAACGTGGCTTACTTACTGTGATGTGTGCCCGCTGGAGCCCCACGGCCTCCTTGGGTGAGGACAGGAAGTGGTAGTTGGTTGGGCTCAAGCGCTGGCTGCCAGCTGAAAGGTCAAAGGACACCACACAGCTTTGCCGAATGCAATTCCCACATCTCTTCAGCAACGACGGTACCGGCTCTTTGTAGATGAGAGTGGCCTTCCCTGATTTAAGGGCAAAATGTTCAGTCACACGAGAACACAAAGGCTTCAAGGAACTCCATGTGTGCACCCTCACCTGGTGGGAAGTAAAACGGAATAAAAATTACACGATTGGCGTTATTTAACAATCTCAGTAAGAAGAGAGGGAAATGGCAATCAGAGAACTGGTCCAGAGGTCATGAAGCCCACTGGGTACATGACCGAACAAGTCACTGAGCTTCCCAAAGTCTCCATTGCTTCACATTGGAAATGAGAATAATTACAGCACTTGCTGCACAGGTTACTGTGAGAATTAAATAACAACACGTTTAAAACATTGCCCTTGCTATGAGTGTTCTCCCAACTCTAGCCACCCGTCTTTGACTTTCTAGTTTCTCTCTCTTTTTTAAAGAGACTTTTCAAGTAACAGGTTTTTTTTGTTTTGTTTTGTTTTTTAATGGAAATGTGCTAGTAGGTTATAGTTTAATGTGATGTCTGATGTTTCTTACTGTTTTTTTAAAATTTTTTTAATCGTTTTATTAGAGGCTCATACAACTCTTATCACAATCCATACATACATCAATTGCGTAAAGCACATTTGTACATTCATTGCCCTCATCATTCTCAAAGCATTTCCTCTCCACTTAAGCCCCCGACATTAGGTCCTCATTTTTCCCCTCCCTCCCC